AACTTTATTTTCCTAGCAAATCTCTTATATGACAAAAGAGAAAAAAAAAAAAATATAATTAGCTTTCACTGTGTTAAAAAGAGACTAAGATTTGCTGTGAATATAAGAATTAGAAAATAAATTTAGATGATTTATATTATTATCTATAATAATGTAAATAGGATAGAAATATTATTTCTAGAAAAAAAGTATTTCAGAATTTTTTTTTATTTTGTTATATTTTTTTGAAGCTTTTTAGAAATAGTTAAAATATATTTGAAATTCCAAATTAATTCAAAAGATTATTTAAAAATATAATTATAAAAAATAGATAAAATAGCAAAGATATTTTGTTAGTTATTAGTAAAGTTAATAAAAATGAAAAAGAATAACTATTTTGATAAAATCAATGAAAGTAAAAAAATTAAATGATAAAAGAAATAATATCTAATAAGAGTATAATGAATTAAAAACTTTTTGTAATTTATTTGATCATTATCAGCTTGAAGTATGAATATAAAATTGATTTTTAAAAAATTACTATAGTTTATAATAATTTTTATAGTATTTTAAATGTCAGGACAAATTCAAATATATACAAAAAATTTATTATAAGAATTATATCAATAGTGTTATAATAGCTAGTTAATCATTATACATGTGATATATTAATTATTTTTAATAAAATTTATGTATTATTAATATTAGTAATCCTGATTGTATTATTTGCTTAATAAAGTTAGAAATTTACATGAACTGTCTAAGATTTAGAAGATCAGCATAAGTCAAATTAATCACTATTAAGTTGATTACAGGACAAATTGACCTTCAATCAAATTGATTACTAGCCAAAATGATTTCTAGTCAAATTAACTTCTGGGTAAGTTGTTCTTTCAAAAATAAGCATAAGATTCTTTAAAGAAAGTTTAATTTGAGTTATAATTGATAAGCTTAAAAGTACAAAACTAGTTAATAGATTTATTTTTATAATAAATAAATTATAGAATTTATAGAATTTAGTGAAAGATTTGGTATTAATATAATTTTTAAAAAAAGATGAATTTTTTTGTTAATTGGATTAAATTGAAAGGTAGGAATAAAAGGGAAATAAGGAAAATATATGAATAATAAAAAAATAAGAGTAGTATGAAGAGAAGATTTTATCAAGTTATCTACTTTTTCACTTTTTCATTATAAGGATCTTTAAAATAAGCTTTAACTTTAACCAAAGTTAAACTAATTTGCTTTTGTACAAGAAGTTTAAAGATAAGCACCAGTAAATATATAATATAATGTTATTTCAAAATTTTTTGATGTTAATAATAAAGATAAAATTTTTCATTTCAAAGATCATCTATATAATGCATTTGAGTTTATTTTAACTACACAAAATGATGTTACAGTAGAGTTAGTAAAAAATTTTGAAATCATAGTTTATTTCCCTTAGAATAATATAAATTTTTTAATTCTTGTTAAGCTTCGGTTATTTTAATATAGTCAAATCTATAAATAGTAATAATTTTTATTCAAATTTAATCATGATTTTCAATCAATTATTTTTAATTTTTAGTTAAAATACATTATAAAATTTATTATAAATCTATTATTTTTAAATAAAATTTTATTTTTAATAATTAAAATATTAAATATATACAAAATTTTCAGCTTTAGAATTATTTTTTTATAAATAAATAATACTTAAATATATAAATAAATGTTTTAAATATAAATTCATATATTTTATAAAGTTTTTTTAATAATATAAAAATAAATAAAAATTAAAAATTTTAGCTTCTATAAAGAAAATACTTTTATTATAAAATTTTCAAAATTTTAATCTTAAATTAATACAAAAAGTTACTAATTAATGTAATATTTTTTTTTGATTTTACTTAAAAAACATTATAAATTTTATTATAAAAATATTATTAATTTAATAACTAATTTTCAATATATTTAAATTAACTTTAAAGTGTAAGTAAAATTCCTTTTAAATTTGGAAGGAAAACTATTAAAGGAATAAAACAGATAAAATAAAATTACATAAAATTTAATGCTAAAAATAATCTAATACTTATCAATATTAATTAATAGTAATTTTATAAACGTGAATATTTTCCTTTATTATATAGTTAGGCATTAAAATATAATCAAAAATATGGTAAAAAAAAATTTAAAAAAAATTTAAGAAAGAGAATTGTTTTAGAAGTTATAGCTATATTAGAAAAAAATTTTTAGATAACAATATTTATAAAAACAAAAGAATAAATAAATATAGTATATGAGAAAAACTAGTTAAAAAACAGAAAAGTGGTAAGTTAGTACAAAATGTTGAAATTTCAGAAATATCTCCTATTAATAATTGAAAATTAAGATTTGCTGAAAGTTTAAAACAAGCTTATTAAAATAAGCTATAGCTAGTTTTTTAAGTTTAAAATAAAACTAAATAAAGCTATTATTTTCTTTCATTTTTAAATTATCAATAAATATCAACAATTTTAAGTATTGACATTAAAGATGAATATCATAATTAAGAAGTTGCAACTTGGTTGCAACTCCTTGTAAATTTATTTTAATATAAAAATTCATAAATAATTGCAATTCAAAGTGTTGCAACTTAAGTTGCAACTAGTTAAAAATTTTAAAAATAATTATGAGAACCATCTTTAATTGACATAATCAAGTCAAAACTTTTTATTTGAAAAGCTTTGATTAAATTAAATATATATAATTTGAGTTTTTTATATATAAAATAGAAGAATTTTTAATATTATACTTTGCAAAGTATTTTATTATATAGTTACTTTGGTAGTTCTGAGTATTTGGATTATATAATTGGTATAAATATTACTAATTTTATCTATTAATTTTTTATAGTTTACTAGTGGATTATAAAATAAAGATTTAATATATAATAATATGATTTATTTTGATTTATTATAATATAATATTTAAAATAAATTTATATTTATTTTATTTATTTATAAAAGATAAATTAAAATAATTTTTATTAAGGTTTTAAGATAAATCCAATTAAAATAATTTTAAATCTGATTTAAATTTTCAGGTTAAATTAGATCAGATATAATTAAAATATTATATAGAATATCTAATAATAATTTTAATAATTTTTTAAATATTATTATATTTTGATATATATGTAATTTAAACATAATTTTTTAAATAATTTAATTATAATTATAAAACATTTAGCATAGATTTTTTATAACATCTAAAATAATTAAAAATAATTTTCTTATTTAAATTATATAAATAAGTAAATATTCTTTCTTTATAAATTTTAAAATAATACTTTAATTTATTAAATAATTTATTAAATAAAATATAAATTTAATTTTATTGCATATTTCTATTTGAAGATTAATATCAATATAAGTTACAATAATATATGCCTAATAAAATAGTAATTAAGAACTATATGTCAAGTAAATATCATTTATTTATTTTTTATTTAAGCTTTAAATTAGATTTTTTTAAAAATTTAAACAAATAAAATATTATATTTATTATTTTAAGACATTTAAATTAAATGGAATTATATTAATTATCAAAATTTTATAATAAATATTATTTATATATAAAAAATTTATAATCTTTTATTTTAATAATATTTAAAAATAATTATATATGCCCTAAGGATTAAATATCTAAAATTAATTTGTTTGTATTTCACGTGTAGATCTTTACAAACGTAAGGGGTTAGGGTTATTGATTATTTCCATCCTATATTGTAGTGACTCTGGAGATAAAATGGCTAATTAAGGAACCAGTTAATAACCTGATTTATTATTTTTTACTTTTATATTTTATAATAGGGAAAGTATTACAACCAGTTTGTCACAATGGAAGGAGATGGAAGAATTTATTGATGAAACACATCAGAGAATGTACCACGATGATGGATAAATGCTACAAAATTCGGTGAATTAAAATGAGCGAACAAACTCTATGCAAACACGTGATCAAATTTCTATCACATTATCACATTAAAGAAACCTTTTACATTATAAATTTTTTCTAAAAGGAAAACGTTAGAAAGATTCCTTTTGTGCTAGATAACTCAAGTTTGATAATTTGATTTATAACTAATAAAACATTAACCTTTATTTGGTTTCATGCAATGCTTTAACAGATTGTTAATCAATTGATTATTTTGGTTAATTCATCTTGATTGGTTCGTCAAAATATTTCCTGCTTAAACGCCTGTACCATCCCAAAATTCCTGTTTATTCCTGTTTTAATGATACTTTATAATTAATCTGCATGATTAAAAGTTGTTGTTTTGCAAAAAAAAAAGTCCGTGATTAGATAAATTGATGATAGTTTGGATAACAGTGAACGTGTGATAAAAAAAAACATAACATAAGGTGTATTTATAACGTTACATCCAAGTGGTGTAAGTGAATAAGTTTAACGTAACGATCACAAAAATTACTCAATCCTTCGATTAACGTTTCCACTCACAGTACAGAATACACTTTTTAATTGTTGATCACAGCAAATCAAAGCCATGTTATAATTTAATTTCTTGATTTTTTTTTAAAAAAAAATAAAGATAAGAAAAATTTAATAGTTCATAGATATATGGGAAGTATAACTTCCGAAACTAAATTGAACAGTAGGTTATTTTCCCACATTAATGAAAAAGATGCACCAATTAAAATCCAATTTCAATAAATTCACAGAGTAACGTCTTCAGATAAGAACTAATTGTTAAATCGGTCCAAATATTATCTGTGAACGATGGTTGTGCAATACCAAAAAGAGGAAAAAGAGGGATTTTAATAACAATTATAAAATTGCGAGATTGAAATTTCGTTAAAATGAATTAATGTATTGTAACCAATAATATTTCATTGTATAATTATCGTACAATGAAATATGATTGTTTGAAATCACTTTCATACACAGTACAGTTTATATGTATACATCGAACTTTTATCAGATATATAAAGACGAATTTTAAATAGATTTTAAGGAAAAAAAATCATTGCGACAAAATGTCAATGATAGCTGACTCTCTCCTGCTATCCACCACATCCATTACGAGTATAATAATCCTTGCTATTCAAAAATATAAAATAAATTTTTATAGTGAACCTGATGTTCGCTTTTCAACCGCAAGAAAAGATTACATCAAATTAGCTCTTTCATTATGTCAAGTCGCCTTATTTTTATTTTTGCTTTTCGTGAGAATATTTCATGTAAAAAACCTAGATGAGAAGGAAGCATTGCATGCCGGGTTACTTGCTTTTTGCTGGGTATTCTATAACGATCTGATTGTTTCATTCTGTTAATATTTCGGTGAAATATTAATAATTTTTAAATTATCGTAATATAGATTTATTTTATGATAATGTGCTTATTGATCTGTTTTACTCGCGCAAGGAATTGGAAATGGATCTTGAATGTTCACGTGACATTGATCTGTGTGACCGCATCTCTGGCTGCTACGTGGCAACTGCGAACCGCTTTGGTATTTCGTCACGACACAAGGGAATTAATAATTGCAATTATAAATCTCGTGAATTCCACAATAATTGCCGCCGTAGCGATAACTACGCCCAAAGGTCCTCCTACCTTTAAGGAGGAAGGTCGTTCGATCTCATCAATCAATCATTGTTCAATTTGGGAGTTTATCACATTTTCCATGACCATCCCACTCATTCGTAAATCATTCAAGACAAATACACTTTACGATTCGGATTTAGATGAATTACCCAATGAATATCTAGCACATGCAACATTTAATAAAATTAAAAGATGGCGTAGTAATAAATTATTATATAGGATACGGAAAGCTAATCAAAAAATTCTTTTATTAGAAACCTTTTTCGTAATCTTGTCATCATTTTTGCGTTATGTACCCATCTTATTCTTGTATAGTTTGTTGGATTTTATTCAAGAGAATAAATTCGAAAATTACGAGTGGGCCATCTTTTGCCTCTTCAGTATCTTAATCGGTGGATTATTACACGTATTTGCAGTATCCCAACATCAATATTGGGGTTGTGCCGTATTACAAGTGAATATAAGTTCCATGTTAAATTCGGAAATTTATTCAAAGAGTTTAACCATTAAAAATAACGTTAACGAGATAGGTAAAGTGAGCAATTTGATGGCGGTTGATGCTAATAGGGTATCTCAATTTGCAATATGGTGGGCAACCATTCTCGAAGGTCCGATTCAAATCGGGGTTGGGTTATTTTTCTTGTACAAACTATTGGAGAGTGCCTGTCTAATCGGAATTCTGGTTTTGGTGGTAATCTTGCCCATTCAAAGGTGGTCCGGTTACTACTTTTCTATAAATCAAGAACGTCTCATGAAAGCAAGAGATTACAGGGTATCCCTTATGAGCGAAGTCTTGCAAGGTATTCGTATGATTAAATTCAATGCGTGGGAAGATAATTGGATGAGGAGAATCCTGGATGCACGAAATATTGAATTGAAATTCCTGAAGAAAAACTTTGTGATGATGAGCCTATTCAACTTACTGTGGATGGCTTCTCCGATATTGATCACAGTTGCAAGTTTCTTAACCTACACTAAAATCCTGGGAAACGAATTAACGGCTTCCGTTACGTTTACTTCCGTCGTTATATTCAATGAAATCCGATTTATATTAAATGATTTGGCCGAATTATTCGTGTTAGCTTTGCAAGCTTTAGTTAGTTTACGTAGAATCGAGGTTTTCTTAACTACCGCAAATAAAATCAAATGTGATAAGGATGTGATTTTTGAGTGTGAAAATAAAATTGGGTTTGAAAGTGCCACCATAACTTGGTATAAAACTGAAAATATTGAAGACAATTTCATAATGAAGGATTTAAATATCGAATTCCCGATAGAAAAATTGAGTATTATATGTAAGCATTTAAGCATTTGATCTTTGGATTTATAATTTTATAAATCTTAATTAATTGTTAATATGTTAATTTAGTTGGCCCAACTGGATCAGGAAAGGTAACAAAATAATAATTTTTTTTTTTCTTTAAAACTATAATAATTCTTTTAATTTTCTTGTTATTATCAGACATTATTATTAATGGCATTGCTCGGAGGTAATGTCTTAAAACAATAAAGTTTGAATTTTAACGATAATTTTCTAACAGAGCTCATTTTTTTTTCTTTTCACTTTAGAAGCGGAAATTCAATCTGGAAAAGTGTTTTGTCCACAAAATCACAAATCGGATGATGATTCTGATTGGATAATGGACGATAGCATCGCTTACGTGGCGCAGTACACATGGCTGCGCAATGGCTCAATACGGGATAGTATTTTATTCAATCTACCTTTTAACGAAGAAAGATACAATCAAGTAGTGGAATCATGTGCGTTAGATAAAGATTTTGAGAGTTTCGTTGATGGTGATTTAACCGAGATTGGTGAACAAGGTGTAACTCTTTCCGGAGGACAAAAACAAAGGATCGCTTTGGCAAGGTAATATTAAAATTTACATGAAGAAATATGAATTAAGGAAAGTATTTTCTAACGTGTTTTTTAATGTAGAGCCGTTTATTCGAGAGCGAAACATATTTTGATCGATGACGCGTTAAGTGCCGTAGATGCAAATACTGCGAAACATTTGATTAACGAATGCCTTTCTGGTCCATTAATGCATAAGAGAACAAGGATTCTTGTCACTAATCATTTAAACTTGGCTTTATCCAATGCGAGTTATATGGTGAGTTATCTTCATTTTGCATTATTTTTATTATCATTTATTCATTTTGTTTCATTGATATTCTTTGTTATATAAGGTTGCGATAAATAATGGACAAATCGCTGTTAAAGGAGAAGTATCGGAATTATATGATTCCGGATCAATATTTCAATTTTTAAAGCGCAAACCTGAGGAATATGTGAGTGAAAAGGTTATTATATCGGAAACTAATCCAATCGAAAATGCTATTGGTACTTGTAAACCATCACAAATTCCTTCGGAAGGAATCTCTATAATAGTTAAAGAAGATTCAATCGATGAGAATATCACTAATAAAAGACCAAATGACGAATTTAATAAACCTAGGGTACTCGTACAAGAAGAAGGTAAGCGATACCACAACAATCTACAATCTTTTTTTTTTCACACTAAACTTTTTTTTAATAAGGTAAAGAATCTGGGAAGATAAAATTGGGAGTCTATCTAAAATATTTGGAATCAAATGGAAATTATTTATTCTGGATAATGGCCTTGATATTATTTATAAGTACAAGAACGGCCCAAATATTGGAAGGGTGGTGGTTAAATGAATGGTCGAGTTCAAATAAGGATTTAAATATTGATTATTACATAAAGATTTATATCATCATAATCATTTTTTCGGTGTTTTTCGGTGTTGTTCAGTTCTCTTTTCTGTATTATGGCTCATTACGAGCATCGAAAAAATTGTATTTTCAACTATTGGCTACAGTTATTAAAGCTCCGTTAAGGTTTTTTGATACTACTCCGATCGGAAGGATATTAAATAGATTTAGTAAAGATTTTGAAGTTATTGATAGCACTTTAGCGGGTAAAATTTTATTATATTTTGAATGTTATATTATAATTCTTAAAGTTTTTAATTTTTATTATATTTTTTAAATTAGTTGATTTGGGATTATTTCTACATAATGTAAGTTGATAGCTTGTAATTTTTAATTAATGAATTTAATGAAATACCATATATTTACTTTATTTTTACAACAGTTGTTAATGATGGTTGGCGTTATAATCGTAATAATCACAATCACCAAAGGTAAAATTAAATAATATGAGAATATAAATTTTCCATATCATTACTAATTAATTTATTATTATTATTTATTTTTTTTTAGCATTTGCGATAGCAGCGATCATATTTGCCATAATTTACGTAATTATTGGTGCATTATATGCCAAAATATCAAGAGAATTAAAACGATTGGATTCGATAACAAAATCTCCATTGTACTCTCATTACACGGAAACATTAATGTAAGTATCATTTAAATTTTTAAAGTATCAACAAAAAAAAATGAATTATTAATTGAATCTATTGAAATAATCTAGTGGATTAACGACGATAAGAGCGTTTAAGGTTACGGAGCAATTCATGAGCGAAATGTTGAAAAGGTTTCTATATGATGATATGATTATAATGTCAACATTTCTCTCTCTTTATTAATGAAACCTGTTAAACTTACATTATGTTAATTATAATAGGATAGATGATAATATTCGACCTTTTTATTTCCTTTGGGTAGCGAATCGCTGGCTACAAATATGGACAAACGGAATAGGTGCATTTTTTCCCTTTGTCACAGGTTTATTCATTCTTTTGAATTTAGAAAAAATCAATGCCAGTTTAGCAGGGTTATCGTTATCATTTGCGATGACCTTTACATCGCAAATCATGTGGTCGATACGGAAATATACTCAATTAGAGATGAGTTTAAATTCCGTTGAAAGGATAATTGAATCTTTATGCATACGACAAGAGAATTACCAAGGAGAAATTGGCAAAGAAACGTTAGAGGAAAAGTGGCCTAGAGACGGAAACATCAAATTTGAAGGGTTACAAGTAAAATACGCCGAAGATTTAGAACCCGTGTTGCACAACATTTCTTTTGAAATTATAGGGAAAGAAAAAGTTGGGATAGTTGGAAGGTATTATTTATTTTATTTTTATTTTTTTTTTTTTAAAATAAAAATTAGAAATTTAAAAGTAATTGAAATCAAAAATTAATTTGATCAATTTTTATTTCATTAAGAACTGGATCCGGAAAATCAACGATGTCATTATCGATATTCAGATTTTTAGAAGCTACGGAGGGAAGGATACTTATTGATGGTATTGATATTAGTAAATTAAGTCTTAAAGACTTGAGATCCAATCTAACGATCATACCACAAGACCCGATATTGTTCACTGGTAAAACATCATTAATTATTCACGAAATTCCATGCTACTTTCAAACCAATCATTATTATTATTATTATTATTGTAGGTTCAATAAGATCAAATCTTGACGTGTTTTCACAGCACACGGATTATGAAATATTCGAATCCTTAAAGAGGGTCAACTTGATACCCTCATCAGAAGCTATAAATAATTTGCCCGTAGATCAAGATTTTACGAGGAAATCCGGAAATATCTTTTATAGTTTAGATACACAAATTAACGAAGGAGGTAATAATTTAAGTCAAGGACAGCGTCAATTATTATGCCTTGCAAGAGCCTTGTTAAAGAAATCTAAAATCATAATCATGGATGAAGCTACTGCTAGGTAAACTAATAAATAAATCATATTACAGCTTCAATCAGAAATTTACCCTAATCATTTTCTTTATAATTGTTTATTATTATTAGCATTGATTTGGATTTGGATGAAAAAATTCAGAAAATGATTAAAACCGAATTTAATGATTGTACGATAATTTGTATTGCGCATAAGTTACGAACAATAATGGATTATGATAAGATATTGGTATTAGGTATGTGCTTTGTTGATTTGTCATAAATACTTTCATAATAATAATTATTATTATTATTATTATTATTATTATTGTATAGACCAAGGAACTGTGCTTGAATATGACAGGTATTTTTCTTTAAAATCAATTTTTTTTTTTCCAAGGAAAAAAAAATAAATAAATAATTTAATTTTTTTTTTTTACTTTCCTTTTTTATAACAATCCTAGCCCATCTAATTTGATCTCGAACCATAATTCAAAATTTTATCAATTGTGTAAACAATCGGAAGATTTTAATTTAAAATGATAATTGTTGAACTTATTGCAATTATATTTTATATTTGTTATTTTATTTTATTTTTATTTAGGCATTCATTCAATTTTATTTAAATAAAAAAATATAATTAAGTAAATTAAAATCGAGTCATGAGTGACATTTACCGAACTTAATAGAATATCTTAAAGTTTAATGTAAATCCATGCATCTTGTGCTACTTTTGGATAACTAATATAAAAATATTATGAAGAAATGTTGCGGAGTGTAATATCAATAGCCGTAACAAAAGCTTTACATCTTCAATGTCTATATAGGTTAAAGCATTTAAAGAGTTTCAAAAATCGACTAAGGAGTCATTACCATACACACCACACCTCATTTTTAAGGCTGATTCCACATCACAATAGCTCTCGTCATAATAATTGATAAAGATACATATTAAGAAACGGGGTGAAATTGGAAGTTCGTAAAATTTAATTATAATAATTGTGCAAAATGGTTATGCCGAAAAAAAACCCCCAAAAATGAATCAAAAAAAAAACGTGTAAATGTATTGGCCTCCCATTGCTCCCCAAGTTAGGAAATACCGAAATATTTGTATAAGCAATGATTTTGGCGCGTGATTATCATCAGATCTCCAAACTACACATTCCAGAAGTTCTTGATTTAATCTTATTAACTTAATCAGGAAATTAAAAAAAGTCATTATGTAATGTTGTAATGTGTAACTCTCGAAATTGAACACGCGTTTTTAATATAAATAAGCTGTTTAAAAAATTCAACTAAAAAAAAAAAATAATAAATTACTATCCTCACCATGGAAAGGTATTGTTTTTATATTTGTATATATATATGTATGAATTTGCCGTTAAATGGATTCCCTTATATTTTATTCCAGAGGGATAGAGAACCCCACCATTAATGCTGACGTGCTAGAAAAAATGGAAACGGAAACAAAAAAAACCACAACAATCGTGACTGAAATTGGAAATGATAAAGATGATAATAATGAAACCAAATTAATAACCGAAACAATTACTACAAAGACTACAGTAGCAGAATCCGGTAAATCATGGTACACGAAAATCATTGGAAAATTTGAAAAAATAATTTATGAACGTCTTCCAGAAACATTAAAATATAATCAAAAGGTTGTTGATGCACTTGACGCCTTGAAAGAGAATATATCAAAAAAAACTAATGATAGTTCGGTTCATCCGGAAATCGAATGGGATGCAGAAGTTAGATGTTCCAATGAACTATGTGATGATGAAATAACCTTTTTGAAAGAAAGGAAAGAGTATATAAAAGGAAGTTTTGCTAAATATATTGGAGTTGATGTTGAGGAAATTCATGTTGATGATATTCCTGTAATTGCGTTTGCCGGAAGTGGTGGAGGATTCAGAGCTATGATCGCCACCACAGGTAAAATTTTATTTTATTTTATATTTTTATTTTTATTTTATTTATTTTTTTTTTTGTTGAAAAAGTTAAAATTTTTTAATATAATTATTTAGCTTATATGAGAGCATTGCAAGACTCCGGCTTATATGACTGTGGTGTTTATTATAGTGGTGAGTCCATGAATTAAAATTGTAATTTGTTGAGTTTACGTCCATCCCATTAAACAATTTTCATTTTATATTTTTCTTTTAGGGTTAAGTGGAAGTTGTTGGAATCTGGCGACGCAATATTCTTCATTATGCGCGACAAAAGAAAATCCAATTCAAGCTGTTTTAGAATATTTCAAGGAACATTTAACACATCATATAGCAAATCCATTAGGACTTTTGAAAGCTTTATCAAAGAATTCATCACCTGAAACAGCGGTTGAATTGGTATTTGGCGGATTGGTTCAAAAAGAAGGACTGGATTTGCCATTACATGTAATTGATGTATATGGATCTTTATTATCTGCTAGACTTCTAATCGGAAATGATCCTGACTCCCAGCATCAGGATTTCAAACTTAGTCAACAAAAACGATTTTTGGAGGGTGGTAAACAAATGATGCCTATATATACTGCGTACGTATTTAAGGATTTTTGGAATTTCTTCTTTTTTCAAGCAATATTTCTTTTTTTTTAACAAAATGTTTTTTCAATTTTAAATTAGTATTTATCACGAACGACCTTGGAAAAATGAATTGGATGAAAAAGATGCTGCATTTGTGGAAAATTATGAGCAAGTATGGGCTGAATATTCCAAGAAAAAGGATCATTTGGCTTGGTATGAATTTACCCCATTTGAAATTGGTTGTGATGAACAAGCTGGTAAGTTCAAGTGTTTTCATTTAAATAGCGTTAATCATAAATATTTTACAATTTTACAATTTATTCATTTATCTATTAAATAGCGTGGATACCTACATGGGCTTTTGGACGTAAATTTGAATTAGGAAAGAATCTTATTCGTATACCAGAACAAAATTTTAGTCAATTAATCGGGTAAGTAAATAAATTTTTTGATTCAAATCAAATAAATGGAGTTAATTTATTTTTTTCTATATTCTTTTATTTATTTAGAATAATGGGCGCAGCTCCGTGTGCTCCCATTTATATCGATATTCGACAATTTGAGCACTTTTTACCTGAAGGTTGGTTGAAAACAAAATGGAAAAAATTGTATGATGGGGTATGTATCGCAAAAAAAAAAAAAAAAAAATTATTAATGTTCTACGTGTAACGCATCTGAATCTTTTCTCTCTTTTCGTTTTTAAAGGCTATGGAAGATATTGAAGAAGAGGAAAGATGGAAATTTGAAGGACATCATTTAATTCCAACTGCATCTAATTTTAATTATATGTATCATTTAAATCCGCCGCCATATCAACTTGGATTGACTAATGATCCAATGTTAGAATTAATCGATGCCGGAGCATCTAATGACTTGCCATTATATCCATTGGTTCATCCAAGTAGAAAAGTTGATATCATAATTGGTTTTGATAGTTCAAGTCAAATTATTAAACATGAATATTTTGAACAAGAACAATTAATTTTTACATCACGAAAAGGAATAACAAGAGTAGCTCGTGATGTGGAAAATGAATACTGTGAAATTTATGATTATATCCCAACCGGATCAAGTGATGGATACACAACGCCTGCTGCTCATCCTAGCATATTTTGTTATTTACCTTTTCTACCTAATGAAAAGGTCGATAAAAATTTCGTACCTAGTACTGCTAAATTTGCTTCCTTTGCTAATTTTTCTTATACCCCTGAACAAATTGATTTGATGGTTAGTTTGGCTAAACAAAATTGGCTTGAAGCTGAAGAAAAAGTTAAAGGTGTCATTATTGATGCTTGGAAGAAAAAAAGGGATGCCAGATTAAGTCATGTTTGAAATTTTGAAATTGTGAAATATAATTTGTACAATAATAAATACACTTTTTATTATAATTACCATATTTACATATTTACATACTTATTATATTCATTTTCATTTTTGCATGATCAATATTTATTTTTAAATCAAAATAAATCAAAAGAATATTTTCTGTGAAAAAAGAGAACTTTTCTAAGTCTGGAATAATCAATGTCTAATTTTCTGAAAAAATGTATGTTTAAAAAAAAAATACTTGTGAACTGGTTAAATCCAAATAGCCTGAGAAATGATGTAATATTTTTTAGATCATAAAATTTTAAGGCGCAATCAATAAAATTCATTGTGAGTTTCAAAATAGAAATCGTAACGGTAAACTATTGAATTATAAAGTATATAATTTCATTAATCGACAGCTCGCAACCAAATGATGCATTAAAAATGATTTTTATTGATTAGAGAGATCCAAAACTTTAAGTGATTCATTAATGCATGTATTCTATCTTAACAGGTTCATGACACACTACTGAATCTTATTACAAATGGTATCTACCTTGAATAATTAACTATATGGTTTAACGTTACGGAAATTTCTTTAATAAGATTTCTGTAATTATCGTTGTCATTATCGTGATTATGTTCGTGACGAGAAAAGCGTTGAAGGAATTTGTTTTGATCCAAAGTGTAAATAAGCGTTATGATACATTAATTAAATTCATTTCACTTGTTATTGCTGAGAAGTTTTCGTTTTATGTAAAATTCGTTTACATTTGAATTTAAGATGGATCTTTTTTTAAAAAAATATATTCGTTAATGTTAGCGTATACTAAAAGAAATAAAAGAGTAATAGAATAATATAGAATAAATTAATATTTTACCTAGATATCTTGTTCTGATACCCAGATTGAATTGCCCATTAACATGAAAAGTTAAAATTGATTTGGACGCTTCCTTGTGAAGAATATGAGTTGTGGTAATCTCAAAAATGAAGTAAATAATGAATTTTTGAACATTAAAAGCCATGTAAAGGATATGTAAATTTAAAAATAATATCAGCTCTATCCCGGATTATAAATACGTAAAATATTTCTATAAAGGTTTGCTATGATTCAATTGTAACGAATTTAATTGACAACTGTCCTATTTATTCAAAAAAAAATATTATATATTCTACCAAGTAAACGGGTGATACACAATTACTATCCATGCCGGATATTTCAAATTGCAAACATTTTTTTTGCTTCATAATAGAGAAAATCCTATGTCCAATAAAGCGCGCAGCTAGTATTGGGGAACAGTATTTAAACTATTAATATATTACTTTTTTCATAATTAATTCCCGCTTTAGCGGAAATTAATTATGAAAAAAGTAGTAGCAAAAAGCACTATTTACAACATTATACCAAAAGCTATCTAAAAGCCCTTTAACTGAGATATCGATTGAATTTAACTTTTTCTGTCGAGCCAATTTTCTTTCTTCTTTTGTGTCAGTCTTTAAATTGATAAATATAAATAAAATATAAAAAATCTTTTACTGAGATATAATATTTACAAATCATTCTAATCTTTTCCGCAAAATAGGAAAGCGTAATGAAACATATTACTGACTCCTCCATTTGCAAAAAATAATCATATTTATTCTTCTACGTAAAATAAAGATTTGTTTGTAGAGAGCGGAAGCGTTATTAAGAATCGTATGATAATATACAATAACTTCCTTGAATTAAACCCATTTCGTTTTTGGAAATAAATTTCATCTTTTAAGGCAAGATTTGGAATCTGGAAGTTTTCGTTGCCCAAGAAAGTATTATACAACTTTTTGTTGATTCACTTATATCCATTATTATCCTCTAATTAAGTCTTGATAAATATCATTAAAACCTAATCATACGATGGTTGATTTTCACCAGCCCATCTCTTAAGCGCATCTTAAAGAATTCTGCTTATAGTATCGGGAGTTAATTCTTGGCGTTTGGATCTATATCCACGATTAACCTATTAACATATTAAGAAAGTGAGGTTAACCTATGATCATTCGGTCAAGCAAATATGTATGAATACAAAAAATTGATGCAACAAAGATAAGATATCATTAGCAATTCAGGATGCCATTGGCAATTCAGGAGATCTCAGGCCTCAATCCGTCATTAGATCATATTCCGTACCCAATACTCAATAACGATGCAACAACGATAAAATATTATCAGCAATTCAGGATGTCTCCCAGGCCATAGGCAATTCAGGAGATCCCACGCCTAATCCGTCATTGAATCATAAAAGTATGAAATCATATTCACCATCTTTCTCGGATTTTCGCTATTTTGATTGTAGGATCGTAGGATCGTAGGTACAGTTGGAATCTCATAAGTCATAGTTACTCCAGCCGGTTGTTGAATTTCTTTAGTTTGGAGCTATTTTATCAAATCCTATGAAAAATATAATAAATAACACTTAGTTTTTCTACTAAGTAAGAAAGAGAGAGTACAAACTCAATAAAAGTTACCTTATTGTAGAGTTCCTTCTTTAGGGCATTATTAGGAACCTGGGAGTTTTCGGAATGTAAACATAACCTCGTTAGAACGCGGGATTGACCTTTTTACGCCGAAGCTTCGCCTAAGCAAGTACAAAACTCAATAAAACTTGCCTTATTGCTGAGTTTCTTCGTTAGGACATGATTTGGATGGAACCTGGGAGTTTTCGGAATGTAAACATAACCTCGTTAGAACGCGGGATTGACCTTTTTACGCCGAAGCTTCGCC